ACTACTTACTATTTCCCCAACCTTTGGCAGTCTCCGCTCTGTAGAAAAGGGAGTACATGTGCAGTGTATCAGCCATGCCGTTTAGTGCTGAATCACCGCCCTGTGATTGTTCTGTGACTTCTGCCTGTTTTACTTTGGTTTGGTTTGATGCTGGGAGCCTAAACCAGGACCTTGCATTTTTTTCCTCTATTGACATTGGTAAATCTGTATGCCTTTTCTCCAGCCAATCTATCCTGCAACCCTTCAAAGGATTGAGGGGAGATTTCCCTTTCCCTCAACAGGGCTCAACGAACATGCCCCTTCCTCTAGGAAGCCTTTTCTGACTGCCCAGAGCACCCCATTCTCCCAAGGGAAGACTGTCACAGGACAAACATCAGTGAGGGTGAGAATTTCAGAGAAGGGCAGTCCTTCCCTGAGCCTTTATTTGGATTAGACGAAGCTTTGGCACAGACTTTGGACTCAAAACCTGTAGGACAAGAAGGCCGTCTGGCTGCAGCAGCTGCGTACCCACGAGCAAGTTACTTACTGTTCTGAGTTGTTCCTTCCTCCCTGTGAGTTGAAGGCACATTTCCGAACCCATCAGGAAGTTGAAATGAGGAGGGGAAGGGCACAGGAAGAGATCTCATCCCAGGAGCCTCCAGCCTACAGGGTTTATGTTGGCACATAGTTTGAGGGCTCAGTCCATCATGGTGGGGAAGACACAGTAGCAGGCACATAAGGCAGCTGGTCACACTGTGTTCACAGTTAGGAAGCAGAGAGACATGAATGCTGGTGCTCAGTTCTCTTTCTCTGTCTCCTTCGTCAGTCTGGGACCTCGGCCCACGTAATGGTGCTGCCTACATTCAGGTCATCCTCACGGCAGCACAAAGCTGCCACCTCACAGAAGCCAGGGAGCAGAGAGACAGGAAGGGGCAGGAAAGGATACTCCCTTCAAAGGCCCACCCAGAGACCCACTTCCTCTAACAAGGCCCACCTCCTAACAGTTCATCTAGCTCTGAATTCACTGATTAAGTGACAGCTGTCATGATCCCATCATCTCTCAAAAGCCCACCAACTCAAAACCAATCCATTAACATATGACTTTGGAGACATTTCTAGATTCAAACTATAACAATCCCTGTGGCATTTAATCCTGACTATCCACTTGATGGGATTCAGAATCACCAAGGAAACCAACCTCTGGGCAAATCTGTGAGGGAGTTTGTAGACTGGGTTGAGGTGGAAGAGCCACTCTAACTCCGGGCCGTACCATCCTAATGGTCTTTGTTTTCCTGGTCTTCATTAAGTGCAGCTTTGTGTGTGTTCATTCAGATTTTATCTTAACTTTGGCCTTATTAATGTGTAACCATTACAGTAAACTGCATGTAAGTGTGCATCTGGGGCTGGGAATGTACCCCAGTGGTAGAGTGCCTGCCTTGCATGCATGAGGCCCTGGATTCAATCCCTGAACTGGAGAAGAAGAAAAAGATTAAGTGTTCATTTTGATGAGTTTTGATGCACACACAAACCCATGGAGAATCACCACAATCAAGATAATGAATTCACCACCCCCACACCCCCGGTTTCCTCTGCGCTTTGGAGATCTCTTCCCTCCTCTCTCCTCCTTGCCATCAATCCCTGGCTGGCTCCATCACTACACACAGCATTGGCTGGCATTGGGTGCATGCATACAGTGCATATTCTTTCTGCCTGGGTTTTTTTTTTAATTCAGCATAATTATTTCAAGCTTCATCCACAGAGCACCAATAGTTCACTGTCTGTGAGTGGTTAGCTTTAACAACTGCCAAGCTCCTTCCAGAGGCGACTGTACCTTTACCGTCTGTGAGAGCGTCATCTGTCCATTCTTGTCAGCACTCGACATTGTTAAGCTTTTTCATCTTAGCCATTGGAGTAGGTGTACAATGGGGTCATATTAGGGTTTTTTTGACTTGCAGTTTTCTTAGTAACCAGTGATGCGATGTGTTGTGTGTGGATGATCTTATCACTGACCCCTCACTCTTGTCTCTTTCTAATCCATTTTTTTCTGGGCTGTCCTTTCATTACTCTATCCTAAATTCTAGGACCACAGGTCTGGTAGATAAACAATGTATGATGGAAACCAAAACTACTCACCAAATAGTGGAGATTTCTTGTGCAACAAATCTGCACCCACTTCCAGGGTGACAATTGTGACCACAATTGCCAGTTACCCAAATCCCTGACTCTCACTGTGTGTTTTGGTACCTATATAACCTCAGAGTTACGGCTGGCACCCCAAAGGCAGCACCGAGGTTACTAGAGCATCTGCCCTGTGCGCCCAGCACAGCCTCACTGAGAACAAACTCCTGTGTCGTCCGCTTTTCTCCACCTGGTCTTCTGAGACCAGCGGCCAGGCCACGTCTTGTTGAGACAACTCCGAGCCCTGGCCAGGACTTGGGCCAGGACTGAAACAACATGTGAACACGGATGGTGTCTGTTCCCTTCCTTCCGTGCTGGTGGGCATTTGTGCTGCCCTCCTCTTCATATGAACATGTGCTTTCCTTTCTCCTGGGTAAACATCTGGGAATGCCCAGCTGGGTCATCCAGCGGTATGTGTTTACATTCTCACTAACCACCGTGCTGCTGCCCAGGATGGCTGCACCCTTTCACACCCTTGCCAGTGCTATATGAGAGTTTTACTTGCTGTGTACCCTCATCGATACTTGATGTGGTCATCAGTTTTCATGTCGGCCACTGTGGGAGTTTGTGCTATACCATGGTTCTAAGTTGCATTTTCCTAGTGACTAATGATACTGATTATCTTTTCAGCTGCTTACACATCTTGTAAGGTTAAGTATGTGTCTATTTAAAAGACATTTACAAAGAAAATAAATGCAAAAGTTAAACCTGTGATGAAATTGTTTTCATTAATTTAATTTCTATTGTTCATCCCACTATTTAGAGCTATTATCATTTTTAAGTCTATGTGTGTGTCTGTGTGAGTATATGACACATGATCCCCTAGGTTATAGGCAGTTGTGAACCACCCAATTGAACTCGGGTTCTCTGGAGGAGCAGTATGAGTCCTTCACTGCTAAGCCATCTTGCCAGCCCCTATGACCACTTTAATGTTTAAAAAATGATGGTAAAAGGACAAGCAATACAATTAATAAATAAATTGACAAATAAACTGAATATTTTTCTTTCTTTCTTTCTTTCTCTCTCTCTCTCTCTTTCTCTCTTTCTCTCTTTCTTTCTTTCATCTTTTTGAAACAGGGTCTTTCTGTAGCCCCTGGCCTGGAACTCACTATATAAACCAGGCTCTCCTCAAATTCAGAGATCCACCTGCCTCTGCCTCCCAAGTGCTGGGATTAAAGGCATGTGCCACCATGGCCAGGTAAACTGAATACTTTTCAAAAGAAAAAATAAAAATGACCAATAAAACACATGAAAAAGAAGTTCAACATTTTTAATTATCAGGAAAATGCAAACCAAAACTACAAGATTCTAGCTCACCCCAGTCAGAATTACCATTTAAAAAAAGATAAATGCTGGCAAGGCTCAGGGGAGGGAGGAGGAGTCCATGTGCATTGTTGGCAGGAATCCAAATCAGTCCAGCCGCTGTGGATCTCAGAATGGAGGTTCTTCAAAAACTTAAAAGTAGAACTAGCACAGGATTCAGCTACAGCACTCCTGGCACCATCCGGAGGGCTCCATGTCAGCTTACTAGAGTGACACCTGCAAGCCCATGTTTATCTCCGTAGTATTGACAATAGACAAGAGGAATGGATTCAGCCAATCAGCTGAGGGGCCTGTCAACGGATGTTCCTACATCCGTGAGTCTGGGGTGCAGAGGCCTGTTTCTCTTTTAAGATTATCAAAGGCGAAGCAGGTTGTGCTGAAATGGCTCTTTGCAGTAATCAGGTCTCGGGTCAAAAGGTGTAGAGAGTCTGTTTGTCTTGCGGATGGTCACAGAGCTCATTAATTCAGTTCCTGCATTCTCAGGGGGCTTGTAAAACCATAAGGCCTTGCTGCATTGGGGAGGCGGTTGCTGTAGATCTGAACCCTAACAAAGAGGACCATGAATTCCAGGCTAGCTGGGCTACATGAAACTTTGTCTCAAAGAATAAGTCACAGAAAGAAAACAGGGACAGCAGTGCTGCCTCTGGCATGACCAAAACCCTGGCCCATGACTTGCTGCTTTCTCTGTCTCTTGTCAAATGACCACCGAAACATGAGTGTTAGGAATGACGGTGGTAGCGGACGCTGTGCCAGGGAGCGCTTCATGCATCACTCACTTGCTGGATGCCCTGGAGTCACATGATGAGGCCTAGAAAGTAGGTGTCCACAGGGGCTCTCGCTCAGGTGCCACAGCCCTCACCTCACCCCAAGAGAATGAAAAGGATGTCTGCATGGAGGCAGAAGGAACAACCCTGGGCCATGTGAGCAGCCCCTGTCAACTTGAGGGCCCCTGGGAGCAGAACCCAATCAGAGCAAGAACCTAGTTTGTGTGACAAGGGGACAGACCCCAGAGGAAGGGCCAGGAGGGCAGCTGTGTACCCAAGGGGGAGATAATGGGGCATGCCAGGAGGAGACTGTACTCTAGGAGATGCCTACACACAGAGAAGGGAGCTAAATGGAGTCAGATGGCCAGTGTGATGGCCAATTGTGGTTGTCAGCCTGATTGGATTAAGCTACACCAAGGGCAGCTGAGCACAGTGTCAGCAGCCTGTGACCCCAGCACTGGGGAGGTGGAGGCAGAAGGATCATGAGTTCAAGTCCAACCAGGTTAGATAGTGAGTCTGAGGCCAACCTTGGTGTGGTGGTTTGAATGAAAACCCCACAGGCTCCAAGTATTTGGACATTTTATCCCCACATGGTGGCACTGTTTTGGGAGGTCTTAGGTGTGGCTATCCTGGAGGAAGCATGTCACTGAGGGTCAGCTTAGAGAGTTCTTAAGCCTTGCCAGATCTCCAGTTGCTCTCTTGCTTCCTGTGCCCATGTGATGATGTGAGAGCTTAGTTTCTGCTGCTCCTGCTCCAGCCACCTCCAGCCACCATGCCTCCCTGCCATGACGGACTGTAATTCCCCTAGAACGGTAAGCTCAGATAAACTCTTCCTTCTATAAACTGCTTCAGTCAGTGTTTCTGTCACAGTAACAGAAAAGTGACTAATACATTTGGCTACATAAGACCCTGCCTCAAAAAAGCCAAGAGAGAAAGAAGGGAGGACAGCAGAGGGGAGGGGGAGA